GATATATATTGTTGAGTTGTCTCTGATTCGATAATTATTTTAACATAATAAAATCAATTATTAACAATCACTAATCATCCACATTTTTTGTCTTTTCATTTTTTATGAAGTATATATTTTTCAAGACTTGCTTATTACTATATTTAAATTGCAAGCATAAGAATAGAATATTGGGGCAATTAAAAAAAAGAAGAAAAAAACAGTTGTATCGAGTTGGATTAACTTTTTCTGTTGCATCATTTACGTTGATAAATTTGCATTTCACATCATAACTATAGTAATTGATCGTCAAACTACCAAAATAATGTTTCCTTCTTAAATAAAAAAGAAAAGAAAATGATAGCTCAGGATTATTAAAACTGTGTACTAATTGTATTGTAATTTTAAAAGCAGAAATAAGATTGTAAATGTCATATAAGGATAAATTTGGATCAATTTGTGTGTGTAATACTTGTGTAGGGCTTATATGCTTTGTTTTCTTATTATGAAAATCACAATCATGATGCACTTATCAATAAAGTGATAACATAAACTTGATGATCTTATAAAGTCATTTACTCTATTTTGTTCCGGCAATGAAGAATGAGTATGAATTTTGGGTTTTTTAGCTACTTCAAATGGTAGTACATTAAATATTGGTGGTGGAACTGCTCTATTCTTAATCATAGGTTTTGGGTTCCAGTCCTGAGTATGGAAAAAATCTTGTTGGGAGTGTCATCCCCCGAATGGTTACTGCAATGCATGATTCAAATTTAGTCGGATTTTCAATGTGAGTTTCGAATGCATGGAAACTTAAAAAAATATCTATGAATAAGGAGATGACTCACAGATGGGATTTTCAGACAGTGCTTGATTTAATTAAGATAAAATGCAAGTAATAACTATACTAGCATGTATTGTAAAACAAATTGTTAAATACTTAGTTAGTAAGAGTTAAGACTACCATTGTATTCAACGAGTAATACGAGCAAAGACGAGTAGAGCTAATCAAATAGACATTCTCAACTACTTTTCTAACATTCTGGAACTTGTCTTTGGACAACCAACAATCACAAATTGTATCTATCCTCTTTGATTCTGACACTCAGTTTTTCCAATGCGTAGCTTTAAAAGCATCTTGTGTACTAAGTTTCCGCTAGGTGTGAGATCTAATGAAAAGTCGGACCACAAGAGTCTATTATAGCCTCTTTCAATATAGAAATTCAAACAATACTAGTCATTTACAAAAATCAGACGACATTTTGGTCAAAGTTTTGCATACGTCACTTTAGAGAAAACAAAAGACAATGGTTATATCTTGCTGCTTCAAAAGTGCTTCTTAGTTGCAGTTCTACGGTCTGCATATGTCTGAAGCCAGTAACAATAATGATCTTATGGCCTTACTTACTTTTTGGTTCATGTAAAATCCATTACGTACAACCTGATGATCCAGAGACTTCTGGTCATCCCTCTAGTCGAACGATCACAACTTAAGTAACTCGGTGGTTCATGGGGGGAAAAGGAAAGCAGAATTCGTTCATAAACGGAACGTGTAGGAAAGGAAGGCACTGGTATTTTCTGATGTACCATCATCATAGCCAGAAATTAACTATCAGATCTAGCTTGAACATGATGTTGGATTCAAATTTGAATTTGCTAGTCCTCCATCTGCTTTCTTAGAGGTTTTGGAGTCGCCAACTGAGATAGTGGTGGCTATGCTTGATGGAGTTCGTCGAATAACTTCATACAGAAAGATCAATGCTGAACTATGATTAACCTTTTCATGAGTCTTTTGGTAGAAGATTTTGTTGAATCCAGATACTGTATAACATTCATCAGTTAGAAAGAAAATTACAGCTAAATTCTGAATCTTGGTCATCACACATTGCCAAAAACTAAAAAAATCAAAGCACACAGTTCTCTGCATCTCTTGTGATAAGCTGCTTCCATATGACAAATATCAAGAACAGTCTACACAACAAAGAGCCATAAACCAAAAAAATCATCTTTTATTTGCCATAGAAAACCTGCATTATGGTCCGATAAACTAACCCTCTTTTATTCCTCAACACATCTCTCATCTTGCTCTCTTCAGGCACGGCTCCTTTGCTCTTCACTATCTCCAATAACTCTTTTCCTTCTTCCTCCATCCCTGCATTCACCAGCCCTTCAAAACTACCCAAACAAGTAGCTGCATTGGGCTTCATTCCCCTTTTCTCCACCATCTCCAACACATACTTCTTCGCCTCTTTTACAAACTTCTCTTCTCCACTCTCCGCCAACGACTTGATCAGCACGCTATATGTATACACATTCGGCAGCACTCCAGATGACAGCATCCGTAGGTAAACCTTGTGAGCCTCCTTGGGCTGCCCTGCATTGGCGTATGCCTCGATCACCGCCGTATGAGCCACTACATCTGGCATTTGGTTCTTGTCCTTGATTTGAGAGAAAAGCTCCAAGGCCTCGTGGGTCAGTCCGTCCTTAGACAATCCGTCGAACATCTTCACTGCATTGTTGATCATCCCCTCTGAACGTATTTTCTGAAACACTTCTTGCAAGTTTGTCGGGTCTTCGGGTTCCTCAATTACGGGTTTCTTGTTAAATGGATCGTATGGTGGTGGTAATTTGGATTTATCTATTTGCTTAGTCGACGATTTTGTTTCCTCTTTCGTGTCCGCCTCAGTATCAGAGTCTTCTGAATCAGATAGCGAGAAATTGACTAAAGTGTTGCGCTTCGGAGGAACTAAAGTAGAGTTAATCGAAATTGGAGTTTCCGGGGTGGTGGTGGAAAATGGTCTGCTTCTGAATGCGTTAGTTGTGGAGACTGATAAAAAGGAAACTGTTTTGGGGCTTAGGGTAGGGAGAGAGGAACTGTAGTGGAAACGAAGGGCATAGGGGGAGAGAAATCGGCGATTTAGGGAGAATGACGGCGCTGGAGAGACGGTGAGCCACCGGGCAATGGTTATTCCGGCCATCGGCGATGTGGGGAGTAGAACGTCAAATGTGAATAGCAGCGAAAAGACTAGAAGTTGGAACGGCAAAATCAAAATATTTAAAAAGTATTTTATAAAATTATAGTAAAAATTTACTTTTTTTAAACTATCCAAATAATAACTAAGCTAAACAAATTAAAACGGCAAAAGAGTGTTTTTCTTATTTTCAGAAAGAAGCGATATTGTTTGATTATAATATATACGAAAATAAATAAATTTATTCAATGGTCATCTTAAATTTGAGTATATGATAGGGCAAATTGAGTCTCAAAATTTATTTGAACACGTGAAGTTTAATTATTATTTTTGAAAAAAAATCCTAAAATTCTGATCATCTCTATAAGTACAAGTCATCCGATTGATAAATATAATTATTTTGGTTAAACTCCTCTGCCTTATCAATATAAGCAATAACATCATACTAGTGAAATTTCACATGTAAATTTTAAGAAAGGTAGATTGATACAAATTTTACTTCCATTTCATGGAGGTGCTAAGTTGTTTATGAAAGGCAATCAACTAAAGTAACACATACTTAAAGAAAATTCAGAAGGAGAAAACATAAGTAATGTAGACATCATAAATGTGCACGCATTCTAAAGCATATAGAGAAAAAAGAATAATAACTACAACAAGATAAAACAATAGTCAAAACACAATAAATAACATGTAGTAACAAAAATTGAGGGACTAGAACTATAGGACTAGAACAAAAATACTACCGTATGCAACAAGAAACATATTCTCTCTGTCCCTATTTACTTGTCCACTTTTCCTTTTATAATTGTCCCTAATTACTTGTTTATTTTGACAAATCAAGAAAAGATAAAAAAAAAATTCCTATTATACCCTCAATTAATTACTTTGAAAAAGGTAGAACCTTTTGAAAATATTAAATTTTTAATTCATCCACTTCATAATTAATAGTGATAAAATGGTAAACTCACTATGCCAATAATTATTTTCTTAATAGGTGTGTCAATTAAAAAATGGACACTAATTAGGGACGGAGGGAGTATATCGTTGGACATAGAGATGACTCAACTACCTTGTACTCTAATTTGCAACATCCATAACTTTCTATCTAAGGTCATATCCCGAGTAAGTTGAAGATGCGTTAAGTCATGACCAATTTACCTCTCTTCGGTGCTTCTTTAACTTAATTCAACCTCCTTAAAAAGTTCACCATAGTCAAACTCTCACACTTCCTCAATGGAACATTGCATCTCTTATTTTTACGTGCCCGAACAATCAGTCTCACTTCCTCGTCTTGTATACCACAAAAGCTACCCCTAATCAACATCCAAACTCAAAATCAAAACTCACATCAATTTTCAACATATGGATAATGGAAATATCAAAAACACAAGATTTCAAACTTAAAACACATTATCTAGATCCAAATTTGAATCACTTATTCTCCAACAAATTCTCCGACGAATTTTCACAACCTCAAGAATACACAAACACAAAGAGTTTGAGTTTGATTGAAACACAAAGAAATAAAGTGAATCCATATCTAATAATTGAAAATTACAAATACTAAAAACAAGCGAAAATAGCTTGATAAAAAATATTGAAGAACAAAATCAAAGCACATTATTGAAAAGTGAACAATTTTCTTTTTTAAAAGAGCATGGACAAAACTCCATCAATTTTATTTATTTTTAAAGAATGACTGATTTTCATAGATTATTTTCGCATAAAACGTGGGCGACTAATTCCATGATTTTTTTAATTAAAAATTATGATTATTTTTTTTAAAAAAAAAATCAAAGGATTTTGTCGATTATTTTTATCAAATTTCGTCTGTTGGTTTTTAAACGTGGCAAATCTGCATTGCCAGAATTTATTATTTATCTATTTTTCTTATAGATTTGTCTTTTTAAATTAAGAAAAAAAAACAGTGTGCTTTTGTTAACAAAAAAAACATAGAAGAAAAAACCGCGTTTTAAATTTTTACTTTTACGCGTAACGGTGCTATAAAAAGGGGAGTGAACCCTACCATCCTTCAAAAAAATAAATAAATTCCGTTTCGTCTTTTCCTCTCTTTCTTGGGCTTCCTCCTTTTTGAGTAATCTTGCTGTTCCTCTCAATTTTTGAGGTAAATTTCCATTCATGTTTAGTAGATTCCTTCATTTTCCCCCAATTCAATCTCTACATTCCGCCTGCAGTATGATTCTTTGTGGGTGTTGGACTTATTAGCTTCCTTTGTTCCACTTTTGAAATATTTCATAATATTCTCAACTTCTGCGCTTATGATTCTTTGTGGGTGTTGGACTTATTAGCTTCCTTTGTTCTTGAACATACTTTCTTGATTTCTTATGATTCTCTGTGGGTGTGTTGGACTTATTAGCTTCCTCCACTGTTCTTGAACATGCTTTCTAGACTGCTTATGATTCTTTGTGGGTGTTGGACTTATTAGCTTCCGTTGTTCTTGAACATGCTTTCTTGATTGCTTATGATTCTTTGTGGGTGTTGGACTTATTAGCTTCCATTGTTCTTGAACATGCTTTCTTGATTAACTTCTCCTTGTGATTCTTTGTGGGCATTGGACTTATTAGCTTCCATTGTTCTTGAACATGCTTTCTTGATTAACGTTTTGGATCTTTAATATATTGGTCATGCTATGTTTGATTGTTCATACTATTCTTTTTACTTATGATTCTCTTTTCGGTATTGACTTAGCTTCCATTGTTCTTGAACATGCTTTCTTGATTGACGTTTTGGATCTTTAATGCCATCTGTCGGGCTGTATTGGATTGTTCGTACTATTCTTTTTTACTATTGATTCTTGTTTGGGTATTGGACTTAGCTTCCATTGTTCTTTAACATGCTTTCTTGATTAACTTTTTGGATCTTTAATACTATCTGTCATGCTATATTTGATTGTTCATACTATTCTTTTTTACTTATGATTCTCGTTTGGGTATTGGACTTAGCTTCCATTGTTCTTGAACACGCTTTCTTGATTAACGTTTTGGATCTTTAATACTATCTGTCATGCTATGTTTGATTGTTCATACTATTCATTTTACCTATGATTCTCTTTTGGCTATTGGACTTAGCTTCCATTGTTCTTGAACATGCTTTCTTGATTAATGTGTTGGATCTTTAATACTATCGGTCATGCTATGTTTTGATTGTTCATACTATTCATTTTACCTATGATTCTCTTTTGGCTATTGGGACTTAGCTTCCATTGTTCTTGAACATGCTTTCTTGATTAATGTGTTGGATCTTTAATACTATCGGTCATGCTATGTTTTGATTGTTCATACTATTCTTTTTACTTATTTCACAAAGATTAGATTGCTGATTGGATTTTGTTTTTCACTTTGTTCTATGGAAATTTATCTTGAATCTTGAGTTGGAAGATGTCATAGACAAGCATAAGGCCTTGAAGATAGTCTTTGCGATCAAGTATGGAACAGCTAAAACTTTGGTTTTTCACCAAACAAGTTGGTGAATCTATGTTGTTTTTTATTTTTCCCAAACAAGTTTGTCAACCTATGTTGTCTAGTTGGACAGTTCGTAAAAATAAAATAACTTGGGAAAAAGAGAGGGAAATCTAATGTTTCAAAGAGTCAGGGATTATGATTTTGTATGTAATCTGCTTCAGTTTTTATCTAAACTATCCTGAGGTCCAACCTTTTTTGCTGACTTATTTAATGATCATTAAATTCCCAATTTTCATGTGAAGCATAATTTAATAACTTTAAATCATGGAAGCAAGAGTTGCTATTAACTTAATAACTTTAAATAATAGAAAACGGTATTCTTCTCATTTTTGGAAAAGGACATTTTTCGTATCTCTTCTTCAAGGATTAGTACCTATATGCCCATGCCCAATCTTATTCTATAGATCCTACATTTACTTTTTGTTCTAAGCTTTCCGGTGAACACTCTTCATTTCCTGTCACATTCATGTTTTCATTTGTCATCATCCTTTTTGCCATACAGATTATAGTCTTGGGTCTTTGAGAGAATTGCTATTTCATCTGGCTGAGTTGGAAATCAGTAGTTGAGTGGGACTGACGCATAATTGATTGATTAATACAACTTTTGTAGTTGGCCTTGTTGGGTTAGTTTTATATGATTTAGCTCTTCTTTAAACTGTTGAGTATGCCCTGAAATTTTATTTTTGTTTCTAAATCAGTTCCATCTTTGAGGCCACCAATTAGCATTTGCCATGATATTTTGCAACAATCATAGGGCTTGTCTATGCATACTTAATATGGTATACATATTTGAATGGTTACACACACTTATTGTTATTGAATTTGATGTAAATATGATGGGAGATAAACAAACCGTCTGCAAAATATTCTCATGGGTAAGCGGTGCATGAAGTATTTCTTCTCTTAGTACTTCTGTTTATTCTTGATAATGTTATCTTTTATTTGATAGAGTGATTTAATGCCGTTAAAAAGTTTAAAATGGTAATGTCCTCATTCGGAAATTATGGTGAAATTGATATGTAAATATTCTCAAGAATGACTCAAATGTGCTTGCTCAAAAAAAAGAATGACTCAAATGTGACCCAAATACAAGTTTTGAAAACTTGTATATACTTGCCATTGATCTTAATTGGAAGTGATTGTAGGAAAACTTCACATTAACAGAATTCTTGAGAATGCTAATATGATGTATGTCCATGTGAAGTTGAAGGTTTTATAGTTTAAATGGAGAAAAATAAATCAAACCAATCCTTAATTATTATAATATATAAATCAACATTGAGAAGACAATTATATTTAAGAATTCATGTTACAAATGGAGAATATAAAAAGGGCAGCCCGGTGCACTAAGCTGCCGCTAGGCACGGGATCTGGGGAAGGGCCGTACCACAATAGATCGAAGAGTAATACTTTTTCAACCATTCAATGGAGTTCCTTGGGATATCAGCATGTAATATCAATTTTGTGTACTTTAAATTCATAATATAAATAAATATTATATGTATTTACACACATTTGACGCTGCTAGAAGTTTCACTTCTTAGATAGAAATGTTTTAACCAGAGAAGTGTTTTTCCATCTTATTCCAATTTCCTTCGACATTTTAAGTGTTATTTTCATTTCATTTTCCTTTGGAGTGTTTTCAATAGTTTAAGTTTTTACAACAACCTATTTCTTTGTAATTTTCAGATATTAGGAAAGGATCAGTTTGTATGTTCAATTAGGTCTTCAACGATTTTCTAGTTTGATTATATGTTAAATACATCGTATATGTTGGACATGTTTTTATAAACAGCCCTTAAAAGGCTCCTGGTGCGCATAACCCTTCACCAAAGCAGACAGAAAATTTCTCCATTGCCGGCACAGAGAAATTTGGAGAGATGGCTCTTTCAAGAGCTCTCAATTTCTGCAGGAGCTTTTCCACAGTTTCTTCCGAACCATTACGTGTTTGCATCGTGGGGAGCGGGCCTGCTGGGTTCTACACTGCCGATAAGGTACAACTATCTCTGCTTTGAACTTTCTACTATTTCTGATTGTTGTAAGAAGTTGGGGAACTTTGTTTTAACTATTGCCAGATTTTGAAAGCTCACGAGGGAGCTGAAGTTGATATAGTTGATCGGTTACCTACGCCATTTGGATTAGTCAGGTCCGGAGTGGCTCCTGATCATCCTGAAACAAAGGTCCTATACTTTTATTAGTCTCCTTCATTGTTTTTTTTTTCTTTTTCCGGAATGGTAATGGCAATAGGGAAAGGCAGCTGGTGGGAAGGGCAGGGTGAACCCTAAGAGGGGAGGGCAGTTTAATTCATACACGGGACATAGTCGGGATGGCAGAAGTACTTTTGAAAAGTTAATAGCTGGGCGGGGCCAGGGGCAGGCCAAGAGCAAATTACTGTATAAGTTCACCCTGAGCTTTTGATGCACTCACCCCGTGTTTGTTGTACTCCAATAATTGGGTCAACGTTCCACAGTTAGCGTATAGCTAAAGTGTGCAATTATAGAAGCAGAAGCAGGAAATAATGAACAAATCCCCCCCGGATAGACCTTTTCACTTGTTGAGACTTTTTTTTACCTCCATACCAGCAATAAACTTCTGGGTAATAAATTTAGTAATAACTGCTTGAAAATTTGATCTTTTCTTTCTAAATGCACAAGTTTATATCTTGTTTATATTATTTGTTTAGGTGCTAATGGTACTCTCCCTCTATTTTATTTTATATGACATATTACTATTTGGAGAAGGGAACAAATCTTTTCCAATATTTCTTAAATAATTTAAGTTATAATTTTTTTTATTGTACTTTTTATATAATCCTATTCATGCCTGTCAATTTTGTCTCCAAAAGATTGAGAATCCAATAGCTGAATTCAGATAAAAGATTAGACTTTGACCCTTATATTATAAACATCGTCATTCTTTTCTGGAGACAAGGAGTAGTATATTTCTTACTTTTAAATAATGAACTACCCATCTTGTGTTTCACTATATGAGTAAAGCAAAGTATTCTTGAGTGATTAACAGAATGCTTACAAAGAAAGCAATTAACAAGTAATAATCCAGCAAACAAAATCTTGCTGCACAAACTGGAGTGTTGTAAAATGACCTTTTGGAATAGTTTTCATTTTGAAACTCAATGAAATACTGCTCTTATTAACTTTAGTTTACCAGAATACTTGCAACAGATTGTGACGAACCAGTTTTCTCGGGTTGCTCAAAATAGACGTTGCTCGTTCATTGGGAATGTCTCTCTTGGAGCCTCTATATCTTTGGCTGAGCTGCGTGAATTATATGATGCGGTAAGAGTTAAGACTCTACACAATGATGAGGATGCATTTGATTCTCTTACATTTTTTACTTTCTTAGTGCAGTATGTATTATCCACCAGATTCGAACTTATTATTTCATTTTGCAGGTGGTGCTTTCTTATGGAGCTGAAAGTGATCAAGCTCTAGGAATACCCAGAGAAGTATGTTACTCAACGGGGTGGCTTTGTTGAGTTTCTCTCCTTTATAGTTAGCATCTTAGGGAACAAATATTACTGATGGCTCCAAAATAATCAAAGAAATAAAATAATTACTGATGGTATCATTTGATTAATCTTCTACCACTATGCTTCTGTTATTTCTTAAAGAAACATAGTTTCTGTTTATCCATCTAACGCTGCATGTCTTGTAGGATCTGTCTGGGATATACGCTGCCAGAGAATTTGTTTGGTGGTATAATGGCCACCCAGACTGCCGAAATCTGGCACCAGATTTGAAGAGCTCCGATACTGCTGTTATTATTGGTCAGGTATGTCTATATAATGTCCATAATACTATTTCACGTGTAAGCAGAGTTGCAATTGTGGTAAAATTGTACTTCTAGTCTCTAGACATGTGTATTCAACTTTTTAAAAGAAGCCACTATTTGCTTAAATTTAAATAGCAAATCATGTGCATCCAAAGGTATGGCCTAGTTGTCAATGAATTGGGAGGAGAACCATCATGTTCACAAAACACGCTAGGTGATTTTGTCCATCTTCCAGTGCATTGTTAAACAGAGTTATTCTATACCTATGCTAGTGGACCGATGGAATACTCGAGCTGTGTCCAAGCTGCTGGACTCCACCATAAAAAAAAAGATGTAGCAGGTACAGGGTACATGATAGAATAGTCGAGGATACACAAGCTGGCTTTGACACTACCGTCAGTTAAAAAAATCTATTTGCTTAAATTTAAAATGCATAGCGAGTCCTCTTTTTGGATTAACAATTTTTGGTTAAGATTTAACTAAACCAATGGCAAGTCCCTATGCCTCTTTTTGGGTTAATAATAAGCCCACCAAATCTTTTCCTCTACCTCTGTCTGTCTTCATGATGCTGTATAATTCAATCACAACCAGAGCTTACCATGTAGACATCATCTGTTAATGTTTATACTGGGCTAGGGGCTGACTTCTGGTGCTTAATTGACAGTTGATACCTACAGTATGTTTCTCCACATTGGATGCTTCACTGCATTAATACGCCAATCAACTCATCGGTTTATAGTCTGAGTGTCTATGGGGGAAATTGGTAAATGCATTATTGTCTTATCAGAGAAAGTATCTTTTCATGAAATGTTTGCATTACTTTGAAACAAAATCTTCTCTAAGAAGTCACCCTAGAACTTATTTGTTTAGAACTTTGTAAAAGAGTAGGCACAGTGAAATGTAGTTCCTTGCTAAGAGTTTTTCACTTTTGTTAAGGGAAATGTAGCTCTTGATGTGGCGCGTATCCTTTTACGACCAACTAGTGAATTGGCAACAACTGATATCTCCTGCCATGCTTTGGCAGCTTTAAGTGAGAGCTCCATTAGGTTTGCCTTTTGCCTTCTGTTTTTTTTTGGGGTCTTTTTCAATTTAATTGTCATCATATGTTGTAGTTAAATATGTACCAAAAAAAACATTTTGTATTTAAATGATGACGCTTATGCTTGAATATTGTCAGAAAAGTGTATTTGGTTGGAAGACGTGGAGCAGCACAAGCAGCCTTCACGGCGAAAGAACTGCGTGAAGTTCTACGTGAGTTCGTGGATATTTTGTCTGTCTAAGATTGCTGGTTCCAGGCTTCCAGCTCCTCCCACTTTCATTCAACATGCTATTCATTTACCTTTACAATCGCAAGATAATTAAAGCTAGATATTATTTGCGCCAGTAATTGGGTTGTTAATGAAATTTATGTTGCTTCAGGTATCAAGGACCTATCCATTGAAATTCGGGAAGCGGATTTAAGTAAAACCCCAGCAGATGAGGTATGCCTGCTATCTATATAACTGGTTAAGGCTCCTAAGAAACTGATGTACCCTTAAACTTTACTATTTTGTAGCATAATTGCTTCCACTGCTTTTCTTTAGATAAACCCTTCGATCTTTTGAAAGATTAAACTTGCTTCTCTTTTTAGCTTCAACTACCATGTTTGAAGAAAGAAAAGAGTTGGGGAACAACCATATGATTAAGAGAAAAAGACCTAATGGTTCTTAAACTACAATGGTAAGTTTGAATTTGATCTGTTAGTGTTTCTGTCTGACATGTCTTTTCAAATGAAGAAAGTAAAAGATAAGCAAATAAAGTGCAAGAATGAGGGTAATGTGCCATGCTGGATCCTTTTGAGAAAAGTGAAGCCTATCTTGTTGAAAAGCTGATTGGATGTGTTAGAGACTTGGGGTCCTAGATGGTGTGAGGAGTTGTCTTCTTACTTCCTCCATTTTAATTTGTTCGTCTTTTTCTCCTTTTAGTTTATTTAAAAAAGAAAGCCTCTTTCCCAATTTGACAGCTCTTTAACTCCCACATCCAACATGACATATTTAAGGCCACAAAATTAAAGGACATTTTGGTACCTTATACATTTCTTTAGTTTTAGGTCACAAGATCAATAGTCTTCTGACTTTCTTAAACTCTATGCCCGTCGGACTAAGACTAACAAATTGAAACAGAGGGAGTATATATTATTTGGCAAGTTTCACTTCATGAGCTAGTTAGTTTCCTCACGTTTTCATTTGAATGTTTGGATACTTCAAAACAGAGGCATTGCACATCCCTAGAAATTAACTGAAAAAGCAGTCATCAAACAATTGTTCTGATTGTAGGCAAAGGTGGATGACATGTGATTTTCATTATATTTTATCATGTAAGTTGGTTGTTATGTGTTTCTCATTGAATATTGTATCCTGTATGCTAAAATTGTTACTATATTTAGCATAAAGAACAGTTGCTACTCTTCAAAAGGTTGAAGGACTATAATGCCTTGGAAGAAGAAAAAAAGTGCAAGATCAAAATGCTTAACTTTCTAAGGTGGAGTTTGCTTTAAAAATTTGAAAACAGTTTTTGCAAAATCTGTGTTCCAACCAAAAGCTATTCTTCAATTTTTTGAATCTAAAACCACTTAAGCTAAAGAGGGATTGATGCACTTTGCTCCACGAATTTCACATTGCTTCTATGCACTATTGTTATGCATAACTTCGGTATCCCCAAGTTGAGTATTCTGTTCTTTTGTTTTGTATGCAAAGGAAGAACTAAAGAATAACCGGATTAAAAGGAGAATTCATGAACTGCTCTCTAAGGCAGCCACTCCTGCAACTTCCGTATGCAATCCAGGTCAAAAAGAACTGCACTTTGTTTTCTTCAGGAAACCAGACAGGTTCCTGGAATCAGATTGTAGAAGTGGTCATGTTGCTGGTTTGCGGGTGGAGAGGACAATTCTTAAAGGTAAACTGTGAGAGAACTGTATGCTTATAAAATTCCTTGCACTTTTTTTGTTTTTTTGGGTATATGCTCTTCAATAGAATTTTCTGCTTTTACCATTTTTTCTATTTAATCATTTTAGCATGGAGTTGACATTGTCTGGTGAGGACGTGAATCTCACAACAAAACACGTATACAAAAGGATTGTTTGATGAGGATTTATGTTTTGTTAGGTGTGCATGTATGTGTTTGTGCAAGTCATGTATTTGACTGAGTGTATGCTTGTGTGCACATTTTTTATTGTAGTGTTTCTATATTATTCTGTTGAGATAGAATGTGCAATAAGTATATAGCAACACGTGGATAAGAGCATATAATATGATTAAAATACTTTTGTGCCTTATACATTAACGTAATGCATTAAATAATTTTGTTAATAATGGAAAATCTTCCATACACAACCGCCAAGCGGTATACCAAAAAGTGGCGACTTTACTACGTAATATGATCCTCCACAGACGTTTCCTGATCATCTGTACATATCCACCTCATGGAAGAGTAAAATGAAACTAGAAATGAGTGTCTATTCCTCAAATGTACATAGGAATTATCTATCCCACCAGAAGCTCTCCTATTTTCTTCCTTCCACAGGACCCGCATGATTTCTAGGGGGAAACATCTTAGGTTCACCGATTTCTCTTCCTATTTCTAAGTTTTCAGTTGGAGAATGCCTCCGTCACAGATCACAATAGATGATTGGCCAAGGTAATTAATGTTACATATTTCTATCCAATTTCAGATAAAACATATGCTTATACAATGTAAATTCAGTTTTTTATGTAACTAAACAAATGTCTGATAAGAAATGTGTATGCACTAATTAATCCAAAGGCCTTTTCCAATATTGCCATTTCTGTACAATAACGGGTGACTGAGTGGTTGAGGCATAAGAAAGAGTAAATACTTGGAGAATCCAGGTCTATATCCTAGTTATAACATTCATTATTAGCCAAATCCTTCAGCTTTGGTGAGCAGGTTACGTCTTTGTGGGTTGTCGCATGCTGCCTCTGATGGATTGGTTAAGGTCTGTGCAAGTTGGTAGTTGGTACATACACTATAATCTACAATACTTGTGTGAAAACCAAATAACGCTTTAGTGTTTTGTGTGTGCGTGTGTGTGTGTATAGTTCGCCCAAAAGATGTGAAAGACTTCACATAGTGTCTGCATTATGTCAGAGTTATATTTTATAAATGTGCATGTTGAATTCATGAGAGAACTTCTAACTCTGAACTTTTTCTTCCTCCAGAAGATGTTGGCTCTGGGAAACAAATTGCAGTTGGTACTGGACTTTTTGAAGAAATGAAATGCGGGTACACTGCTTTAGTTTTCTTTGTTTCCCTGCATTTAAAATCTTTTCTTCCTTCTACCAAGTGTCATATGACATGTAAGAAACTGCTTCAGTTCTAGATTTTATTTCATATTGCAGTGGTGTAGGAAAACCTTTTTTAATTCCTTCTTTATTTGCAGCTAAACCTATCTCTGTACTGAATGTTGATGTGTTGTACTGCTCTTGTTTGTAGGCTGGTATTGAAGAGTGTTGGTTACAAGTCGATACCTGTTGATGGCTTGCCTTTTGATCACCGTAAAGGTATGTGATGAAAGCTATAAATCATGACAGACATGTTGGTTGTTCTTAATGCTCTTCGCTTAAATAGATCTCTCTATAATTTCAAGTTTTCAATTCATCATTTGTTTTTTCTATTAGTGATTTCAAATACTTCCATTCACATTAGTGGTTTTGATTCCATTTTTTATCCCATCCTGTGGAAAGGTGTTTTCATCTTTCACATCTATTGCTTGAAAGCTTTGATTGCGGTGTGGTCCATCACTCTTGCAAATTTAAATGATCTGGACCTGCTATTCCAGGTATTGTTCCAAATGTTCGGGGACGTGTGTTAAGTGAAGCTTCTGAAGATGCACAAGTCGAGAAAGGCTTGTATGTATGTGGGTGGTTGAAGAGAGGACCAACTGGGATAATTGCTACAAATCTTTACTGTGCTGAAGAAACTGTAAGTGCATATCAATCACAACCTGATGCTTTACTATCCCCCTCATCATGACCGAGGAATTTGCATTCTAGAATATTATATAGTTAGCTTTGCTAATCATGAGACATAGCAGGTCGCTAGCATATCAGAAGATGTTGAGAGAGGAGTGGTAACATCAAGATCTGGCTTATCTAAGCCCGGAAGGGAGGGCCTCCTCCAATTGCTAGATAGCAGGAATGTCAAAATTGTTCCATTTGGTGGCTGGGAAAAGATAGACAGTGAAGAGAAAAGAAGAGGTAGTCTGAAAAACAAACCCAGGGAAAAGCTTACCTCTTGGCAGGATTTATTAGAAGTTGCCACCAAGTGATAAAAGTGTCTCCAAGATGGCAGATTTTGCTTACATCTGTGGTTTTATGGTAAAGCCCGAACTCTATAACTCTTTTAGATGTGTGCATTGTTATTAGCTCTCGGCATTTAGAGAATTTGCAGTGCATTCTTTCTTAGAAAACATGAGAAATAATCGGTTAGCTCTGTTTTGAGCTCTTCTGGTCCTGGAACCTTATACTGACATGGTGTAGTTGTATTAAAGGCTCAGCTTATGCATTTCAGTTGAGGACCAAACACACTTTTTTTTGCTTTGATTCCTCCAATTTTTGGTAGTTAGTTGAATCAGATTAAGTGCGCACTAAAACAATTTATGGGCAACGGCCACACTTTGAAATTGAAGTACTTAAGTTATATAATCATCTTTTGGGCTGACAGTTCAAAATGAAATGACAACCATTATAGGAACTAGCATATCGTCTTTATTTCTTCTTTACTTTTTTTGAGAACATATGACCAAAAAATAACTTTTTGAGAACATGCTTATTCGAATTATAAGCCTACGAAATAGATCGGTCATGTGGAGAAGGGAAAAAGTATCGACAAAACATGTTGAACTTTAGTATATAAATTTTAGAGGGATAAGTACTCACACTTCTCCAAAAATGAACAGAAATAAATAAATAAATAGTTTTTAGATCTCATGTGTAAAAATGACGACAACTAAAAACAATTTGTAAGTGGCTTACAAAATTAATTTTTCCTAATTGGCATTAACTACGAAAGCTACTTGTTACCATATATCAACCCATTATTCTAAAATCCCTTCTACAATAGTGTCTTCACTTAAAATGAGAGAGGTGAGGTTCATGGTTATACCTTTTTGGATATTCTTTATTTTAATATACGTTCAAACATTGGTTCCTCATCATTTCAATTTTGAAATTACAAGTTGTTCGTATTGAGTAGAGCAATGGTGATGATCACCATTCAGTTGTATAAGCAATCTAATTTCAAGTAGTACTATTTACTGAGACAGAATGAACAATAGCATCATATCTTTAAATGATTGTTGTTTGGTCAAATACAGAAAAGAGTGAACGGATAGCATGTTGGGTGGTGGCGCGTAGGTCTCATAGCTTCTGAGTGATCCTGAGGTCGAGAGTTCGAGCCTCTCTCACCCCCCCATTTCCTCTTTTTCTCATAAGTGATTAAAATGAGTAGACAACTTTCTTCGGGCATACATACATACAATAGTGACTTTCTTTCTCTTTATTTGACACTTGAATACTTGTTAACACCTTCCATTTGCCTACTCTTATGGTTCTATTGCTACTTTCCTTTTGGTTTCTTCAGAAAAGACCTCCACTTATTTTGCTGTACTGCTCAATTAATGTGACGTCTTTTTGTCAATGTTTTCAATTATAAACAAAAGGAATTCAAACAATAAGGGGTGGTGGCGCAGTTGGCTAGCGCGTAGGTCTCATAGCTTCTGAGTAATCCTGAGGTCGAGAGTTCGAGCCTCTCTCACCCCATAACTTTTTACTTTTTCCAGAAATGTTACATTTTCCCGTATATTCTACTTAGGACTCATGCATATGTAGCCTACTCCTAGTCTAACTGAATCTCTTAGTAGCCAACAACACTACTACTTCTCTATGTATAAATATTATCAAGCAATATTACTTTCTTTTCTCCCTCTCTTGGTACACTATCATATTAGTCATTCCACCTCTGTCATGTGTTATTCAAATTCGATTCGAACACAACACACTTTAGAATTTCAAAATAGATTTCCTCCTGCCAAGCGAAGCGAAACTTGCTTGTCCGTCCTCCTAACACATGAAAAATTGGATTATTTGCATTCAGACAAGAAGCAAATAAAATTTAGCAGAATCTTGCTCATCAAAATGGGTGATTTTTGACGTTTTTTTTTCCTTTTCAGTCGCTCTAGTTGGAAATGGTTGATGATTGATTATGGGTGATCTCTGAAGGGTCGGTCCCATAATATCATGATAAGAAATGGATGCCATAATCCCTGCACGCCTTGTGTTGCTTCCACTATGTTTAGCTGGACTTTTCTCCATGAGATTTTTTCTTGGAAGACGTGGTATGCTTGGGAACACTTATAATATATTATTAATTGGATAAATCATTATATAGTATTTTATTATATTGACATGAAAAAAGACGGAAGAAATGTGCAGTTCCATTTGCGACCAAGGAAGAGCTCTCTATTCTTTATTTTCCCTTGTGCTCATCTAGTTTTTATTTTCCCTTCACAGACCATCAACAGAGATGTGCTCATCTAGTTTTTATTTTCCCTTCACAGACCATCAACAGAGATGTGCTCATCTAGTTTTTATTTTCCCTTCACAGACCATCAACAGAGATGTGCTCATCTAGTTTTTATTTTCCCTTCACAGACCATCAACAGAGATGTGCTCATCTAGTTTTTATTTTCCCTTCACAGACCATCAACAGAGATGTGCTCATCTAGTTTTTATTTTCCCTTCACAGACCATCAACAGAGATGTCATTACCCTATTTCCAATGGTGGAACTCCCAAACCAACATTACAGAGATCTCTCTCTTTAATTAATAACTGAATAGAAACGTTACATCACAGATGGAAAGCAGGTACATCGTTCCTACCGACTGCCTGACGTATACAAACATGAACTGATCTGGCTTGATCATCTACCGAGTTGTGAACTGTACCCAATACAGAGATATCAACATTGAGTACAACCAAAACTGCAGTACAAACTCAGGTCACTATTATTAAGTGAGCAAACTTAACAGCCTTGAAATCTGATCCGCACAGGCACTAAGCAACAACCATTTTCATCTAGCACCAGCACCAACTGTTAAAACTTGGAAGATTAACTAGCTCATCCAACTTTTTATTAGAGGAGCAAAACTGCAGCGTGAAGCCATGTTTTTTCCCGCAAGACCTAACCTATATGCAACTCTTCTTAGAACCCGACGTGTGCATGTTGGCTGAGTAAATTAACCAATTTTGTGAGTGCCAGTACTTGTTGATTCATTGGAGTATGAACTTGGTTGATGTTTACTTGCTTGTGGCAGGTACTTATAAGCAACCACTGAAACGCCAATGGCAGCAGAGAGCCCTATACAACTCCATAGCCACTTCTTCTGGGTTCTTTTCCTCTGCCGCTGCTTCCGTGCAACATCTGCAGAGTGTTTGAATTATGACATCACTTGTAGTGCAGCATAAACATCTATTTCAACTATCACATTCAAACTATAGGAGCTACCGAGAGATATTTGAAACAAGTAGGTTATTATTAAAGTTTACACTAAATGAAATGGCAGTTTTCCAACTAAGTAAAAGATAATCCTGACCAAGGGTCTTTAAGCCAACAATAAATTAAAAGTTACAGTTTTCCCAAGCTACGACTCTCAACTGATAAATAATCCTGACCAAGGGGCTTTAAACTAAGAATCGCAACCAACAAGGTAGATCGTTCGAAAAAATTAGATAAAAGTATTCCACTACATTAATGCTGCAAATCACCATGTCACTGACTGTACACGTTGAATAAGCCGGCAACAGAAGCAATAACCCACTCCATTCAACGTTAATCAGGGCAGAGTATGACATGTATGCCAAACATTACAGTATCTTTCTCATATCAGATGATGCAGAACCTTAATTGAATGATGGATCTAATCAAACAGATGTGCGTCTGACAATAAATGAAGGTTGTGCATGTGCTAGCTCAGGAGTATTCTACAACCACAAGTTATTATATAGCATAGTCTATGGAACTACGGGAAATAGGATATACATTTCACCTAAGCAAAGGTGCCTGGCTGATTGAGAAAGACGCCAGCGAAGTGTTTTATGTGAATGCAAGGCACACACTCATCCTAGATGTACTTCTTTTGAATGGGATATAAGATTCTCTCAGTTATAGGAAATTAAAGATGAAGCAAGCCACAACACTATTAGCTATTACAACGAAACCTGTCAATGCCTTGATGGTAAGGAACATTTATCAGAGTTGTTATAAGTAGGAACTGAGTTGAGCAAGAGAAGCAACACCTACCAATGATTTCTTGATTTCTCTGGGACATCTCATGATTTACAGCCTCGAAGTATCGGAGCCTGTCTCTCAACCTTGAAATCTCCTGGTTTTTTGACTCAAGAATTGATTCTGCAGCTAGTTCAGCTTCTGCACGAGCTTGACCTTTTCCAATTGCTTCAGCAACAAATCTTGAGACAACTACTTCCTGATAGAGCTGCTCAATTGAAGCATTATCAAGCTGCATATCACCAATGACATCTGAAGGAGAAGGAAGTGTTAACCCTGCCTGAGATAGAACAGTACTGATGTTCTGCCACTGGCATCGCATCATATTAAGAGCATTTTCGGCGGTTTTTCTTCTTTCAATCTCCTCAAGGAGTTTGAGCTTTGTAGTGCGCAGTTCCCATTCAATATTAGGTCCACATGTAGATCCATTCAGAAACGACCCTTCCACGGAGAAATCTGAGGTACCATCATAAAGAAAAGTACACTCATCATAGACTGTAGGAATTACCTAGGAAACATGATTTTTTTTGTCTGACAGCTATCATAATAGAGCAATTACATTCATAGTAGTATTGCAAGAATTATCTAGGGAACATGACAGATTTTGTTTGACAGCTGTCAAAATAGAGCATCCTGCCATCAATCATCACCTTAACTTGGAAAGCATAAACATTACTAAACTGAGCCACAATCATAAGAATTTCTAGGATACAACTTTTCATTTTTAACACATGTTGGACAATAACGCACGATACTTTCTGCCATTTTTATACCGTATGACAACAATTAAATTAAGTTTAATTCCAAAGTAGTTGAGAGCATTACGTATTACGTCCCCCACTATTTCATTCCAGTTTTGACTTCTTATTTGATCAAGTATTCCAATCCTAATCTGATATTTAAGTCACATTAGTGGTTCTGTAGAAAGAACTTCTCTTGACTTCTAATAAGATCAACTATACTAATTCCAATCTGATTTTTAAGTCACATTAGGGGTTCTGAAGAAAGAACACCTATGGCATCAGGATTGTCCTTACACAGAAAGTCTCTGAAAAACAAATGACTCCTGACATAAATTGAACCTCATCTAAGTGTAGCAACAAGAACTAAACCTTGAGAACTACTAGTTGGTTTCACCTACATCTATTTTTTGCTTCCATCTTCTTTTGCTCTTAGCTATAATATTGAAAGACTAGGCGTCTGGAGAAAAATTCTCTACATCACAACCTTTTACCACTTCCAATATATTGCCTCTCTCATGGATATGCATATCTACACAGGACATGTTCAAACCATCTATGATAACCTTATTTTATTTTATCCTCTATGTATGCCAGATGCACCTAGGCAAAATGTTCTCACTTCTGTAAATCTTCGATATGTTTCTGTAATATAGATCAGATTGCTGTTACGTAGGCTTAAGGGGAAGATGGAGTAGGCGGTTGAATTGCTATTCTAGTCAACAATTCAGATTTAGGTGAAAATATACAACTCAAACAATTTGTTCTCTTTAATAGCCTGTTTATAAACCAGTGACAATTTACTCAGAGGGACTAGGCAGAGAGAATAAGCTTAACCTCAGGAATACTGCTGTCAATAAGATAAAAAATATCCAATGGTCTTAACAAAAAAATCAAACACATACTAATAGTTAATTAGTGATTTCAGCAGATCAACATAGCCTATTTTCACAGATTTGCTTAATAAAACGGTAGAAACAAATATTAAATTGCAAAGCAGAAGCCAATTTATACCTTCATCTGCATCAAAGAACTCCCCTTGAGCAGATACATAGCTCCGGCAATCAAGCCCTTTCACCTCATTAACACTACCAACACTTAACGCATCACATCTCGGATCCAAAAATCCCTCATCCTCCTCAAACAAATTTTCCTCAGCTAGCTCCTCTTCCAAATTCAAATTCAAATCCAAATCCAAATCAGTCTTTTCGTTAACTTGCTCAACTTCCTCCAATCCATCAAGTTTCCGGTTCGCAAATGCTTCTCCACCGCCACGTCGCTTGTGGTTGACTAAATAAGGAGAAGGAGATAACGAACCAGAAGAAGTCTCCGGAATCGGAGCTGGTTCAGGAGTTATATACAACGCCGGTGATATATATATATGATTCGCCGGGGCAGGCGGTGGCTCATTATCCTCCACCACTTTTTCTTCTTCATTTCTCTCATTTAGCACTTGCTTTCCATAGGATTTTCGAACACGAGGTTCGAGTAGATTCTCAAAGGCTATTGCTGTATAAGTCGGCATAATAGCGATGTAACAGAAGAAAACGGAGATGTCGGCTTCGGCAGCAACCGCGACGGCGGCGGAGTTGAACAGCTAGGTTTTGGACATCGGAGTATTTTTTCGAGGGAAAAAGAAATGTTTCACCGCCGCAACAAGGGTTTGTTTTCTGGGAAAAATGAGGGAACAAAAAGGAAAGAGAGAGAGAGCAACGTGTAAAATATATGGCGTTTGCTTCAAGTCCAGCGACTTTGGAGTTATGGGGACACCTTTGGTTGTTATATTTTCATTACTTTGGCTTCTTCTTCAAGAACAAGTTAGCTTTTTTGCGGTTACATTTACAAAAAAATCTTTTTCAAAGATAAATAAAAACTACTACAAAAATATTTGTAAAAATTATTTTTTGTTTTCGAAATTCAACCAAGATACTATTTTTAAAAATTAAAAACCAAGTCAATTTAAGATTTTAAGTTTAAAAATAAAAATAGTGTCTAAAATTTAAACTTAAAATCTTAAATCTAGTGTTTGTGACTGATTCAAAATCTATACATACATTAAAAATAAAAAAGTGGGGTGGATTGAAATTTTTACGGGTTAAGCCTCAACCAACTCTGTATCCGCTCGGTTCACCCTATTGCCATCCCTACTTACTATATATATAAAACTTTTTTTAGGGTCTTAACCCTACAAATAAAATATGAGAGATTGCTCACGTAGCAAAAATCATTCACCATCAATTTTAAGATTGTGGACTTGAATCACTTGCCAAAGAAAAAAATAAGAGCTATTAGAAGGAATAAAAAAACAATACAACAAATGAAACCCATAACACATTTTCTTAAAGACTAATTAAGTATGCTACTTTTCCTCAATTAATTTTCCAAAGACTTGATTATTAATATAAAAAATAATAAAGCACACCTAATTCTAGACGCCATGTTTATTTTGTTCTCTGTCTCCACTTCTGTTTTGTTTTTTCAAAATAAAACTTATATTAAATGTGTCACCGTCTCTAAAGAAATAGGGACCACCTAATACATTTAAAATTTGAACACACACTGAGGAATTTATTCAACTCTCTTTTGGGAACAAGTAATTTAGCACAACAATTTTTTACGTATAAAAAAAAATCATAGGTAATATCGTTGAAAATATTTATTTATTATTTTTGATAAATAATTTAAAGGCAAAATAGCGTAATCACGCTTTAAGGGGCTATTAGGCCATTTTGCCTTACACAGAATTAACTCTCATAGTCTTTACATTTTATAAGTGCGATTTGTATTCCGCCCAATCTTATTCTCCGTCCATAAAAATGTGATAAGATTCTGCAAGTGCTTTTATGTCATAGAGTAAACTTTTGTCCACATTTTGTGCTTTTCCACTTCCCTCTTCATCCAACTTGAAAGTAAAATCCTCCTATATTTTGGAATTTGTTCAATTTAAAGTTCTCTTTTCCTTTATTCTTTTGTCTAATTCTAGCTCCTTTGGTGCTTCACAATGGGCCTGGGAGATCCTTATTCTACATCCATTTTAATTTTAATGACGAAAGAACCGTTTATGTTTATAAAACTACGACATTGTTTCAATTAAATGTGTATGGGTTCAAGATTCTGGTCCATTTAAATAGAGTAAATAGAGGCGAAATCAAAATTTGAAGTTTATGGATTCAAGTTTCTGGTTCATTTAAGTAGTTTA